GAGCTAAAAGTGAGCTACTGCTGAGATGACTGAACATCTCCCAGCTATGTGATACTCTTAACCAATCCCCAAATCTTAAACAAAATTCTTTAATAAATCATGTAAGACATATGGCAAATGGTATATGACAAATGATTTTAATTTTAGAATTTGGTTTACCAGCTGAGTTTGCCTATAGCCACTCAAGTCAGAATTGAATATATATATATGAACATCATTGGGCATTGTGCACTTCAAGCATTAATTGCCCAAGTTATTAGACCCCTTCGGTTAGGGTATGTCAACTATTTGTTGTAATGAATTTCAGCTAGTTCGAGTATTTTTTGGCTAAAGCAAAACTTTAAATGTTGCGTACACTGCGCATATTTTTGCTTATTTTGACAACAAAATTTAAGCAAATATTTGTGCAGATTTCGTCTGTGTGTGTGTATGTGGCGAATTTTGCAGTGCGTAGCTCAAAATTCTAGGCTAAAGACGATGCCTGGGGAAGCGAAACGTCGTCAACTTCATTGTAAAGTTTGCCAAAATATGCTTGAAAATATTTACTCATGAGCTTGTTTAGTTAATCCATAAAAACTTGGCATGTGCTGTCCGTTGTTATGCCAGCTGGTAAAGACAATATAACATTTAAGAAAATTTAAGCCGCAAGCGACTTAAAAACGAGATGAGTCGTCTTTTTGTTTTGTTTTGTGTTTTTTTTTTTTTTGCTCCTTTGTTTTTGGCTGTCCAACTGCCGGAAGAGACGGCCCAGAGTCAAAGCATATGATTTAGTCCTTGTCTGTGCTTTGTTCATGCCAAGGATTTGGTTTTGCCTTTGGATTTTTGTGCTGGCCTGACAAAAGAGCAAAGCCCCATAGCCTGATGACTGCAGACCCGAACTAAAGCCTCTGAGATAGATAGACAGGCAAACAATTGGCTGTTTGTATCTCATTCTCTCTCTCTCTCTCTCTCTCTCTTTGCTCTGTCTTTGCTGGACAAATTAGTTTCTAATACCTTCAAGTCAAACTGCGGAGGCCAACAGACAAACAAATAAACAGAGCTGATTCAGTCTGCGTCTCAGTCTTGGCCACAGACTCACAGGCTCAAGGCATTGTGACACGCCTACACCGCCCCTAGATTTGTGTGTACTATGTGTGTGTGTGTGAGTTGGTTTTCTAATTACAAATACCCGCCCGATTGATTTGCAGTAAATTGCATTTTAAATAGTTTCATTTAGTTTTACTTAAACATTGACTACAAAGCAGCTGCTTCTGCTTCCTCTTTTCCTTTCCAGCACGCTATCTCTCTCTCTCGCTCTCTCTCTTTGCTCCAAACTAGTTTTGAAGATTGTTTAATGATGTGGTCATGCCCTCCATCCACCCCAGCTTAATATTCCCCCTCAAGCATATGGTCTCTTAATGAGCTATCTGTTAGCTGCCTTCTGCGTTTGTTTTACTTCTTTTCTATGTGAAGTCGAAAGTTCTTAAACTCAATTTTAATTGAAAGTTAAACATTTGTGTGAGTGTATTAAAATATTAGCTCTATTTGGAGCATAATTGCATTTCAATTAATGCCCTTTTAAATATGGCCAAAATATTAAGTGTGTTTGACCTTGAATCCAGAAACCCGTCGGGCAGATTGTAGTCAAAGCCAAAAATGTATTCATGATTCTGACAGTCGACAATAATAATACAAGGGCTGCGTTGCCATAAACTACCAGACCTTATGGGTATTACGAGCCACATTTGCATAACATTGCCCAGAAAAGAGTTGATGACGAGGACGAGGACGACGACGACAAGGATGACGATGACAGAGGGAGTAGCAGCAGCATTTAAATCAAAAAGTTGGCACAATGAAACCAACGGCAACTGCTTAATAAAAGAAAATTATGCAAATTGCTAATAAATTATAGTGAGCCAACGAACGACATGTAAAATAATAACTGAGCGAGCGAAAAGGAATAAGAAAACACCATTTTCCTAGAAGAGTCGAAATCTATATACCCTTGCGCATATATTTGGGCAAAGTACGTTGATTTGCCAGAGCTACTATATGATATACATATATCATAGATACACTGGATGCTAGACTTTAAGCATGGGAAGGGGCAAAAAATAATAATAAGGAGCTGATTAACTGAAAAATTGATATTTAATTAAATAGATAATCACCTATAATTGCCCTGAACATTTTCTGACAAAATGACAATACCCAAAAGCAAAGAGTAAATCAAGCCGTCGCTCGACTGCAACTGAAAGAGGAACTGGAACTGGAACTGGAGCTACGGCTGCGGCTGTGGCTGTGGCTGTCGAGCTGCTAGCGAATTGAATTATAAATGTGAGCACAATGGAACAGCGACTGAAAAGATCGCAGCATCGGGACAGCGACAGCGACAGAGAGAAGAAGGAGCAGCTCTCTGGACAGAGCGGCGCTGGAAAATCATTAAAATAATAAAGCGCTGTATGGGGAGCGCGAAAGGAGTTGGCATTAACTGCCGAATGGATAATGGGCAAAAGTTTCTGACATTTATTGTGTTTGTGTCGAATGTTTATTTATGATTGCATGTCGCGTATTTACATTACAATAGCCATAACTAACGTTCGCCCAGCCGGCATATCCTTGACTCTGCGTACGCGTATGCGTATTAAATTAATGATACTTTCTAGTTCATAAAATTCGTTATGTGACCAGAGATTTGGTTACGGAGTGGGGGGACCCACGACGTCGACAACGGCATCCGCATCGGCAGCAGCATCGACATCGAGTTCCGTATGAATGTCAACGTCAAACACACAAATCAAATAATCACATAAATGAGAACACACATACACACACACACACACACACACACACACAGTTAGATTGCTGGTTGTTGTGTGTCTATTGAATTGTAACAAATTGATTGTCATAAAACATCGTTTATATTATATTAGAATGTGTCATTGGATGTTCATGCTTCAGTTCAGCTAACAACAGCTAACCGCCGACGAAAACTCTTCAGCTGCTGCACAAGATTTCGCAAGTGGCGTTTTGAATGATGGCGATAAACGTTGTCAGCCAGTGGTGCCAACTTAGCTAGTTTAATTTGAAGCTTGTGCCGTCATTAGCAATAAAAATGCTAAGTTTAGCTTGATGATGAATTTACATGATAAAGAATTTACAATGTGTTTTGGCAAACTTTCAAACTTTATAAACAATGAACAAACTCGTTTTGCTAAATTCGTCTCTGAAATTAGAATAGCTCAAAAATGAAAGGGTTTATTTCAGATTCAGAATCAATTAACTTTATGGTTTCGGAAAGTAATACTTTTTTTTAAACAAATTTATACTAGCTCGATATATCATCAAATCCAACTACTTAGCGGAAGAGGGCATCCCCTCTCTTGCTCAAAATTAGTGTAAAGCAGACTCCATTCCCACCTGGCTTATGATAAAAAGGTTACAATCTCTTTCGATAACCCTGTAACTGTTCAACCATCCAATGTGATAAGCGCATTCTGATTTCAGATTGACTTCGGTCAAATATATTTTATATGTAATATATCCGATTTCTAGGGTGTAATATTGTAAATAGAATTTATACACAAAAAAATATATATATTTTGTTTTTGTTCAATTTAGGTTTTTCTGTGATATTATTTCCCACTTAAAGCTAGTTTTTTTCTTCACCAATCTTGGCAGCACTGTTGATAAGGCTTTTCAGGATTTTTCGGCTGAGCTTAGGTGCAGATGTTGGCGATAGTTGGCCGCTTGAGTTGGGACTATAGTGGAAATTTATGAGTGTTTACGACAGATTGCACACTCCATTTGTTTTGTTTACCGCATTCTGAGCTAGCTGCCTGGCTGGCTGGCTGACTGGTAGTTGACACACATATCCCGGCGAGCTTTGAAGGGAGGCAAACTTTTTCGGTGGGCCGAAACTCCAGTTCGTCTTCTGTGTCTTTGGCTCCTTTAATTAGTTGCCTTTTGGGCCGGCTTTAGCAGCTGTGTGCCACGACAAAAAGTGTCCCAGCATCATATGCATGATTTGTGAAAAACTTTTAACTGTCCCACATGCTGGTTGATGGAGGACGTTAGCACAGACTGCTTCTGCTGCTGCTGGTGGTGCTGCCATTGCTGCCGCTGCTGTCTTCTCCTGGCTGCTTGTTTTGGCCAAGTTTATGAATTTCATAGCCAAAGTTTTCGCCAACGCATAAAACATGCGCACAATTTGTGAGCTGTTTTTGTTCCTTGACTACATTTCTGGCGGAATCTTCTTGATATCCTTATAGCAGTAACAGGATTTACAAGCGAACCCATTACCAACTTGCTCTAGCCATAAACAAGTCCCGGCTCGCTCAATTAGCTGATAATGTACGCATTTACGCAGTACGTCATGGTATCATGAAACACAAACAGAATTTAACACGAGCAAAGTCTTCAACTCAAAACCATTCACAAGCGACCTTTCTAAACAACTTTGGCTTAGTTCGTTGAACCTATATATATATATAAATACGCAAATTACCGATACGATAAAACGTAAGTGGCAATGTTTAAAATAAGAAACTCTTATGACGGCGTAAAGACTTGATTGTCATTAATATATCTAAAGAAAAAAAAAATTTTTTTTTTTTTTAATTTTTTTTTGCATTAAATCTTATTATGTTTTGGTAGCTCTTGACCGTGAAACATTCAAACGCGCTGACGAAAGTGAAACAATGTATTTAGTTCCGCTCTGTCTAGATGCGAACCGGCTTTCGGTCCAATAGCAGCAACATCTGTGAAATGATGAACTGCTTGGCTATAGTCAAAGTTGAAGCGAGGGCAAGAGCGGAAGCAGAGGCAGGGAACGGGGCACTTGAGACCGTAAGTGGGAGCATGTGCGGGCATTTGGCTTGCAAATGCTGTGACTTGTCTTAATGACCAAAACTCGGGCCTTAACTGTTGCCGGGTGCTTTGTTGCTATTTGGAGAGACGGAGCAAACAAAGTGTTGGTCATTGTTTGGTTTATGTGTGTTTATGTCGGAGCTTAGCAAACATTAGAGCGTATAAATATGCCGACAAATTGCGACTATTAATCATTCGACCCATAGATTCCATCGATAACACAATTAGCTTTGGAAATCTATACTAAAATGGTAGGTAGCTGAGGATATAACAAGGATTATTAAACGTTATTCTTCTCGAACTGCCCAAATGTTCAACATCATTGCAGAAACTCTTCATTGCGTGCATGTTTATTGCCGCAGCGACGGCTGCAGTGATTCCTGTCGAACAAGCCAGGCACCGTCGCGATGTCTCTGAGATCGTGAATGAGTATATTCCACCACTTGGGGAAGTTGCGGCCGATGTTCCCGTCGAGGATATCGCCCAAGACCCCRCTGCTGTTGGAGAGGATGGATACCGTTACAAGACAGTTCGCCGCCTGAAGTACCGCCAACGTCGTGATGTCAACGAAATTGCCAATGAGTACCTCCCTCCATCTGAAGAGGCCGTTACTGAAATTGCAGTCGAAGAACCCGCCCAGGATACCGCTGTTCTTGGTGATGATGGTTATCAATACAAGACTGTCCGTCGTCTGAAGTACCGTCAACGTCGTGATGTTTCCGAGATCGCCAACGAATACTTGCCTCCCGCAGAAGAAGTTGCTACCGAG